GACTAAGTTCCTTAGATCTCGCCTAGGAGATCTAGTTTGGTTGTGAGGTTAAAATCAATACCCACACAACCCAATCCTCATCTTCTTCGATTGGCCAAATTAAATCTCGTAATCCTTTCCAAATCGATTCTGGCCATGGTCACCAGTCAAAAGCATTCTTGGATTTATTGATTCTACTTTCAACCATTGCAGGGGCCAACAATTTTATGAAGCTAAATATAACAATTTTGGTAATTGCAGAGGCCAATTGTAGAGGTTGCACTGGAATTTGAAGCAGTCAAAAGCTTCTACATTTCCTCTATGTCGAGAAGCACATGTGTATGTCCAAAGCCTCCAAAAGAGGAACCAGCACCATGTTGTAAGTCTGTGAGGGCGTGTCATGAATTTATTTTAAGTAAATCATCTATGAAAAAATATAGATTAATTAGACTTCTGTAACTCACAATAAGATCACGTTTATGCTTATGAAAAATAAACTATTAACATGATTTTGATGATTTAAAAAAAAAAAATTAGGTTTTGATCACGGGGTTACACTTGTTCAATTAACCTCATTTTTTATATGAATGAAAATTTCAACGAACCCAATAATATGAACTATTTGAATCATCAAAATATGATCGGAACAAACCTCTGTGGGTGTGATAGCACGGATGTTGTCACAACACTCACCTCAATCCCCAAAAGAGAGCCATATTTTCCACCCCTATATATAACTTCTCTAGCTTCCTCCATGTCTTGAATCAATACGTATGGCTATATATATATATATATATACGTATTAATAAAATTATTTTTTTTCCTATCAAATTGGACTTAAGATTAATGCTAAAACTTTTAGAAACAAAACCAAAAATTTGTTTGAATTTTTACTCAGGTTATTTTTCAATGGCATTCAAACCATATCTATTTTCTGGTTACTTTTATATTTAGGGGAATGGTCATTGTCTAAGTGAGAAGTACGGCCCTTGGTAGTGGAAAAGTAAAGAAGAAAGTGAGATGATGATTCTATCATACGATTTTTTATGTATTTATATGTATGTGCGCTTTTATTTTATTTTTTATTTTATTATTATTATTTTTTTTATGTGTGTGAGCAAGTGAACATCAAAAGTTCAGAGTAATGTACAAGAATTAGTGGCTAATTTCTAATATTATACTTTATTTCGTTGTCAATTTCATTAAAAATGGAAATTTGTCATTAACTAAATTATACTTTAAATTTCAAAATGGCCTTTTACAGGATTTTTTCCTTCTTCATGCAAATGTATGATTTTTTTTATTCATATATAAAATACAATAAAAAATTTGTAAACATAGAGCAGTAAAAAAGAAAAGGAAAAGAAAATCAAGTACGACCTGTGCATAGCATGGGCAGAAAACTAGTAACTCACTATGCACAACTTAAGTATGTTAATTACAGCAAATTAAACATAAATTACACTATTTCAAGTCTAAAAATATCTATCAAGCTTACTAATAATAGTGCATATAAAACTCATAAGTTAATAATCTAAAAGAATCGTAATTATTTGAATATTAATTTTAGGAGATGTCTAAGCACACAACCAAAACCAACCAATTACTTGCCGAGTCATATTCTTATTTAAATTAAACAAGTTTCAAATTAAACTTCTTTATTTTTACATTTGAAGATTAAAAACCCATTATCTTTGGCGTGGCAGGTAAAAAATCAACTTAAATCAACATGAGTTCAACCTCTGTCTACATCTTATGATCACATTGATGTGGCCTAAGCATGTGTCACATGGCAGGGTAGGAAATGACAAATATGACCAAAATAAGATTAATATTTACTATGAAAAAGAATAAAATCAAAAGATTATCCTTGAAAACATTTAGACATACTTAGACATTAAAGAAGAGTTATACTCTATATACATCTGTATTCATTCCAATAGGTTAAGGTATGTCATCTTTCATTGTAGAATTACTCCATGAATATTTTTTCAATAATGAAATACTGACTTGGGCATCAAAGTGCTCCTAGCCAAGTGCAGACCCAAGATTCAATCACTAGAGAGCTAGAAAGAAGGCATTAGCGTAGGTTCCAATAGGCAGACACCAATCAATGAGAATACGGGTGTAAATTTGGTCCGGCCTGGCCCATGTCGGGCCTCGCGGGCTCCTGTCAAACTTCGGACCGGGCTGGGCTTGCCCATGGGTTAGAAAATTAGGCCCAGACCTAGGGGGTATTTGAGCCGATGGGCCAGGCTAGTCGGCCTGGGCCTGGGCTCGGGCTTAGGTTAGGCTTGAGCGGGCCTGAATATTTTTTTTCTTTTTTCTACCAAAATTTTATTATTTTTCACTAAAAAAGACATTGGGCCTCGAGCTGGCCGGGCCTTGAGTGGGCCTTAAGTGGGCCGATGGGCCGGACCATCGGTCAGGTCGGGTTTCCATATGATGACCCAGGCCTAGGCCCAGGATCTCGGGTTAGGCTCGGGCCCAAGCCCAAACGAGTCTAACAGACTAGGCCACCCACGAGCCGCGGACCATTTTTACGCTCCCAAATGAGAGTTTCTACATTGAAGTAACAGAGACTACATGATTCAATAGTGGGAGACAATAGTTGTCTATCTAATTCCATTTATGGGATTTTATTGACAAGTGACGCCATGGTAAATAATTTGCAAACAAAAAGTTTATATCAAAAATATATTCAAAATCATTTGTCAATGTCATTTTTTTAATTATAATGACAATGGTGGATGATTTGGTTGAAAATGAAATCATTCTATATAAAAAATTATGCATAAAAAATCAACAGGAATATGTCGTTGGGTTTTCATTTCCTAACAACAAGAAGAATATGCTGTTCAGGTTCGTGAGGAAAGTCTGCTATTGTTGACCTCTCTTATTGGATTTTCATCTGAAGAATAATATGTTGTTGCATTACTTTGCCTTCTATCTAATAAGAATGATGAGAAATAAATGGTTGGTGGTGCCTACTGAGAGTTCGATTTTAAAATTGTCAAAGAAAGATAATTTGATTGAGGAATATTGCAATTAAAAAAATTTAGCAAATGGTGTTAACTGAAAAATTACTAGTGTGCAAATAAAATTACTCTCAACCAAAACAAATTATTATATTTTAAAATTATTCTTATGCCCACTAGCAAATAAAATTTAGCAAATGGTGTCAACTGAAAAAAATACTAGTGTGCAAATAAAATTACTCTCAACTAAAACATATTATTATCTTTGAAAATTACTCTTATGCCCACTAGCAACAACTAATTGCTTTACCAGTTTGTCGTCTAACCTCACTGTGCATAGTTTTTTATTGTTAGCAATCCATAGTATAATGGGAGCAAGATTTACCATCTCCCTTGGGCCAACACCATTTTGTGATATTATGTAAGCATGTCTCATCCATAAAAAATCTCACTACCTAATTGCTTTGAACACCACGTAAAAAAATGTCACATAATTGATGCTCAAGGATCTCTATGAAAAACACAATCGCAGCCAAAAAATAAACAAAATGAAATTCTTTTTTTTTTTTTTTGGACAATCAATCAATACGGGATTATTTATACACATAAAGATAATTACGTCAACATGTACAATCAAAATCCGATAACACATATCCATCCAACAACGCAATATCAACAATAAACACAAGGAAGAGCTCTTAACCATGAAAGTCATATCAAAAGAACCAAAGTGATAAACATAGCCCATATCTAAGGGCAAATATGGGATTCAAATTTTTATGGGAAAAGTATTATTCAATGTAATTGCAAATATATATATATATATATATATTACACAGCAATGGTACACATTATGTATACTAATAATTAAAATTCTAAAGTTTTCCATGTATCTATAAATTATTTTTTAAAATTTAAAACACCACTAAATTGTAATTCTGCCAATTTTTATGGGGAAGCCTACAATACGATTTAAATTTTTTTTTTTTTTTTTTAAAAAAAAAAGCACTAAGTGTGATATTAATTTTTTCAAAAAAAATGTTACACGTGAATTTATATAATTGAAAAATATTCTTAATTAATATTATTATAAAAAAGAGTTTTTAAAACTTTGAAAAAGTCACACCAATATCTCTCCCGGAATTCATCCTACCCATAACCAATAGTCAACTCTCTTATGGCTTGAGATCTTCTATCTCAAATATTTTCAATTCTCTTCTCTAAATACTTATAACTATTGTATTATATTACAAGATTTTTGTATTTTTGAGTTTTCCACATAATTTAATGATTATATGCACTTTAGAATAGGGGTAGACAAATTTAAAAATAAGAAATTTCTAAGTCCTTCCTGAAGGATGTGGGATCATCTATTTACAAAGAGTAATGTTAGATATCATGAAAAATATTTTATGAAAATTATTATGAAAGATTTTTGACCCTTAAATTAGATATACAATAAGTTACAAAGTATAATACAAGGATGGAGATTCGTTCATGATCATTTTCATCAAGTATTTTTTATGATACCTAACATTTCCCATCTAGGAAACTCTAATATTAAAATTACCTTCTAGAGAGATATCCAAAACTGCTTAGCAACAACCGGATAAGTTAGGAATGTTGGAGTGAATTGGAAGAAAAATGAGTTATTCATATTTCATTTGATAGTCAGAGACAAATTGCAAGCTAAGCAATGATAATTCTCAAGATTCTCCCCAAAATAAAAGAGATGTCCCAATTCTTATCATTACATCATGCCTCAAAATTCATATTTTATTAAGACAAGAAGAAGTGAGTTTGAAGACAAATAAGTGGAGAGTTTTTTGTGTTTTTTTTTTTGGGATGAATAAGACATAAAATAAAGCAAAAGAATATACAAGATTACAGGGCATGCCTCAGGCCCTAACATAACTATACAAACCTGAAAAGAAAAAACAAACTATAAAAGATTACAACATCCAGCCAAAACAAACGGCATAAAACCAATCAATTGCTCAATAGCCATATCCAAGGAGATAGGGATAGGGATAATGGGGTGAGTCAAGAGTTACTGAAAACAAAATCTTCTCCAAACAAGTAAATCATCCTCTCCCTCCTCCATGGATCATCTTGGCAGTTGCTCTTCAGTTTCCCATGAATCTGATCAGGCAATAGATTGGACCTGCACAGAGGGCAAGTCAAGTGGCCTTGATCAACCCAACCATCAAGGCAGTCTCTATGAAAAATATGAGAACAATTGCAGAGCTTTCTGATCTCATCACTTGCACTCAATGAACTCAAACACACTGCACATGATGGTGAACCTGAACCACCTTCTTCAATCAAGGAGCCATATTTCATAATGGGCAATTGATCCTTGATCGATCCGATTATGAAATGGACCGGGAGTTGAACTAGTGCAGGAGATGGGCGAGACTCATCAGTGTCTTCTTCTTCTTCTTCTTCTTCAATCGATAAATCGTATTTTCTTTTGAATAGTGGGATCCAAGAGAATAGTACAGGTATTGCCATGGCTAGCATGGATTTGATGAGGCATGAGAGGAAGTTCAGAGGTTCAAGTTTTGAGATTCTAATTCTAAAAGGAGAACCCATGATGCAAAACAAGAAGAATAATATTAAAACATCTTCTCAGAAGGAGGAAGGGTATTTATAGGAGGAGAATACAAAGCAAGAGTTGTGTACAAGCAACAAGATCTCTCTCTGGATTGGATGTAACTTTTTTAATTAGAGATGAAAGATTAAAAATAATAAAATGGGAAAATTATTATATAGTGTACCATATATTACATTGATTACATGATATACTATAATTAAAAAATTATAAAATAAATTGATGAATCTGGTCTCCCAACTATCTAACAAAAAATCTGCTAGTCTAATTTTTTACTAATTTAGAATACCTCCACCTAAATTGCCATTTATGAGATGACACTTTTGATAATGAAATTTGGCGTGCAATTGTGCTCCATTTGAATATGCAAAAACAAGTTGGCAATTGACATGTCTTGAGCAACGTCAAATTTGGAGACGTCAGATTCTTTTATTTTCATTATTTTAATGGTAAAGACCCATAAAAGAGTTTTAAAAAATAAAGAAAAAATAATAAATTAATAAAATAGACATATTAGGTGGGGAGTTTTTTTTTTATTTTTTAGAGTTATCAATTTTACATATGCCATCAATCAAAAAAATTTACATATGTGTTGGCACCATAAATGTGTAATTTTTATTTTTATTTGTTATTTATATAATTGTAGAACATGTGACATCCTCCTACTCATTTGGAGGTTATGAGAAGTTATGAAATGTAAAAGGATGATGGAGAATAAAGTGGAGAACATGGAGCATGAATTGGAGATTAAAAGAAGTTATGAAGACATAGAGAGATATGTGGTATTGTGGGAATGAAGATGGAAGAGTGGGTAGTTTTAGGTAGTTATTGGGTAGTTATTGCTGGAAGTTTTTTCCTACAGATATTTGCCTATAAATAACCATTCGTGGCTACATTGTAAAGGATCAAAAACTTAAATCAAAGACAATTGATTTCAATATTTCTTGTCATTTTTCTTATCTTAGGAGTAATTTAACATAAATTTATATTTCGAAGCATTTATTTTAAACATTTTCTTTTCAAAGCATTTTATGCACTTCCTTTTCGAAGCATAGGAGTAGAGGTAAGTAATTATTACTTTGATTGTTCACTCAATCATCTTTCTCCGTCTCCGTCTCCGTCTCCCTCTCCCTCTCCCTCTCCCTCTTCTTCTTTCTTCTTTTAATTTTTCTTTTCTCTACACTTAACAATTTTGAAGTCCTCTTCGTTGAGGCAAAAGAACCGTCAACGCAATCGCTTGATAATTGGCTTGAATTTAATTTGTAGGGATTTTTTAATCCTTACTGGCATGCTCGCATTTATGATATTTTCCTTCATAGGAAAAATAAACCAACAATTTTTGGCACGCCTGGTGGGACTGCCAAGTATAAGAAATGACAAACGATTTGGATTTTGCCATTCGAACTTGTCATTATGAAATATATTAGCGTGAAAGAAAAATTTTGGATCTTCAAGAAAAGATCCATTTTCTTGATGAAAAAAATTTCAAATTGTTTCTTCATTACCATATTATTTGGTAAAAGAAAAAATACACCACTTAATTGGAGGAACTCATCAACTTGATGTGGAAATTTGTCAATAGAGACATGAGTTATTAACCCTTTTTGTCAAGTCTTTAATGACTGAATTTTGTGGGGTTTTACAAAATATTTTTAAGTCATTTGTGACTGAAATTAGTGAAAATATAATTTCATCAATGGCCCGGGGGTCGAAAAACCCATTTTTGAAAAGCCAGCTTATAAAAATAACTTTGATAAAAAGCATGTTGTTGAGTCGAGCATGGTTAAAAATGATGTTCCATAGAGCTGTGGGGGGTTGAAAAACTCATTCTTAGAGAGTCAAACCATGGAAACAACATGTCTATGAAGGATTTTCATAAGCCATTAATGGCTAAAATGGAACAACCCACTAGGCCAAAAAATGATGAAACTCACATGGAGGGTTTTCATAAGCCGTTAGTGGCTAAAATATAAAAACAGCCCCATTCGTCAATAAATGATGAAAGTTATTTGGCTAAAGAACATGTTCTCAACCCAAACATGGCTAAGAATGATAAACAATTAAATGTTCATGAATTTGAATTTTTCGAAATTGTTCAAAATGTCAAGTTGTTTGAATTTTTAAGGCCATCTTGTACTATGATTCTTGGTGTTCAAAACCTACTTTGGATTTGTGGATCACACCAAAATATAATTCTGATGATGTGGCTAATAAAATTAACGAATTATTCTTATGAGTTCGAAGCGCTAAAAACAGGGGATGACCATTTAAAATGAATGACTCGGTTAGGAAAAGCTTATGCATTTAAATAAGTGGTTGAAAATGGCTTATCTTTTCAAATTAATGGCCAATTGGTATGTATACAATCAAAGCATCGAAGATACATTCGAAGCATCAAGAGTTGTTTCGAATGTTGATTACTTCACCTTCAAAGCTGTATAAAGCTTTGAAGATATATTCGAAGTATCAAGAGTTGTTTCGAAGGTTGATTACTTCACCTTCAAAACTGTATAAAGTTTCGAAGATACTTTCGAAGCATCAAGCCTAACCTTGAAACTTCATTGTAAGTATCATCATCCTATATCAATGCTTCCAACCTTCGAGTGGTGATATTGTTCCTTCAAAGTTGTGCTGCAAGACATTCGAACGATGAATTTGGTCTTTTATACCACATTCGAAACTTGTTATTGGTCTTCTACTCATTATTTCATGTTCATTCGAAGCACTTTATTGATATTATTATATCATTCGAAACACTTTGTTGATATTATTCGAAGCACTTTGTTGCTTAGATTAGTCATGTGCTTGGTTCGGCCCTTCAAAAACTCAAGTAAATATCATTTTTAAGGGTCGCGAGGGTAATGTTGGCACCATAAATGTGCAATTTTTATTATTATTTATTATTTACATAATTGCAAGACATGTGACATCCTCCTACTCATTTGGAGGTTATGAGAAGTTGTGAAATGTGAAAGCATGATGGAGAATAAAGTGGAGAACATAGAACATGAATTGGAGATTAAAAGAAGTTATGAAGACATGGACAGATATGTGGTATTGTGAGAATGTAGATGGAAGAGTGGGTAGTTTTAGGTGGTTATTGGGTAGTTATTGCTGGAAGTTTTTTCCTACAAATATTTGCCTATAAATAGTCATTCATGGCTACATTGTAAAGGATTCAAAATTTAAATCAAAGACAATTGATTTCAATATTTCTTGTCATTTTCCTTATCTTAGGAGTAATTTAACATAGATTTATATTTCGAAACATTTATTTTATGCACTTCCTTTTCAAAGCATAGAAGTAAAGGTAAGTAATTATTACTTTGATTGTTCACTCAATCATCTTTCTCCATCTCCGTCTCCGTCTCCGTCTCCCTCTTTCTTCTTTTAATTTTTCTTTTCTCTACACTTGGCAATTTTGAAGTCCTCTTCGTTGAGGCAAAAGATCTGTCAACGCAATCGCTTGATAATTAACTTGAATTTAATCTGTAAGGATTTTTCAATCTTTGCTGGCACGTTCGCATTTATGATATTTTCCTTTATAGGAAAAATAAGCCAACAATATGCTAAATTCACACATATGCCTAAGCCTTTAAAAAAAAACTATCATACAAAATTTTGAAAGTTACAGCGGAGAGATTGGAGTTGTTACTGTGCATGTTGTGCAACAACAACTGTTGCGCATCTTATTGGGCCTATTTTAAGAACTAATTTGATAATTTAAACCATTCACATTTTAGAAGATATTAAATAGAATATATTAGTAAAAAATCACATCAATCGGATATCGTTGGCCTTTTCATCAAATCACATTTGTATTTAAAAAAATATATATATAAATGTAATTTTAAATATAAAACTCAATGCAAATGTAATTTGATGAAAGAGATAACAATATTTGATCGACGTGATTTTTTACAGATATATTTTATTCAATATCTCTTAAAATGTGAATGATTTAAATTATCCAAGCCTTGAAATAGGTCCAATAAAATATACAATAGTTGCTTGTGCGTACCGTGCACAACAGCAACTCCAATCACGATGTTTATAATACGGATAACATTTTAATAGAGAAGGAAAACACTTTTGGACTCTATCAGTTTATTCGTCAATCTGTCCTGAAAATGATTCACACTTTATTTTGGCAAGTTTGATACCCGCCCTACCAGCAAATTTGTTGCCACTTAAATATGCTTAGAATAACCATTAACCCAATAAATCTATTATATTATATAAAAGAATAATGCTAGAGACCCCAAATATTCTATCAAAAGTTTTATCAAATGTCTCACATGGGTGTGGGACCCACACAATATGGGTCCCATGTGGGTCCCACACCCATGTGAGACATTTGGTAAAACTTTTGGTAGAATTTTTGGGACCTCTAGCATTTTTGTATATAAAATATTTATAAGTTGAGTACCGTGGTGAATAATTATTTATCATTTTAAAGTAAAGTACAAACAAGATGATTTTTAATTACAACGGAAAAAAAGTGATGAATTTAAAAAAAAATACTATTTAAAAACTTATTAAAAAAATAAAGTGTGGGAATCAAATTTATTCTAAATATTACTCATATTACACTAAATTTGAACCTACACAGTACAAGCTAAACAAGTACCAGTGAAAAAATCGATTTCGGCGATTTCCGGCGCTGCTCCGGCAAGCTTCAAATCTTGTTTTTCTCTCTTCTTTTCTTCCGATTCTTTTTTTCCGATCGTTCCGCGCAGGGGAGAGGGGGACCTATTGAAGGTCAATTTCTGTGCCGACAGTGCTTCAATCCAGTCGATTTGGGTTTCTTTTTCGGCGTTGACGTGGTTTCCCCTCTCCTCGGTCTTGTTGGTAGATCTGGGTTTAATATGCTTTTATAGGTGTTTTCCAGTGGGATTCC